CAAAATTTAAGTTCCCAATGTTTAACCGTTTTAAAGAAAAACAACAAAAACTAATATTTTTCGCCATTTTGGAGATCAAATATCTCAAAAATGAGGCCTCAAATTTAAAAAAATTCTCAGGAAGCCCCCCTCTAAAATGACTAGGAGAACACGCTGCTAAAATATTTTAACATATTTGCGGAACACCCTGTATAAATAACAATTGTAAAGAAAATCAAACACAATTTTAGTTTATTCACTGGGGTACCATGATTTGTACGATAATGTTTATTGAGATTTCCCTGTGTTGAAAAGCTTTTTTGACAAATACTGCAAACATTGGAAATAGACGTAACTAATGATATAAAATGATATAAAAGTTATTATTTGTACGTTAATTACGACAGAACACTGATGCTACTTTGACACATTCAAGTCAAAACGTGGTCAGACATAAACCAAACCACTTCACTTCCCACTTTTAACAGTTCTAACCTCACCTTTTCAAGATTTGACACTTGACACAATACCTGACATAACATTAGATACTGGCAACGTTGTATTCCAARGGGGCTACAATTAGCCGCTTCTCCGATAGTGGTGCTGCCAAACGTCAAATTACTCGTCAAGTGACAGCTGACACCTGTCAGCCCTGTTGATTTATTGTTCAGTTGATGACAGATGTAAACACCAATGTCAACAAAACAAGTGTCAAATTACCAACGAACTTGTAGTTATAATTTGAACCACCAGGGGGCTTCTGGAGTTTTGAACTCGCAAATTGCCACCACACAATTGACATTTTTCCGCTGCAAAATGTGTCGTTGGCACTGAAAGGAAAGATGCGAATGTTTGCCACCGCACGCACAAAAGGTTGCCACTGCAAAGTGTGCTTATTTTGAGTTCTGAATGAATCTTTAACATCGCGAATCTGAAATGCCATATTGATGTTTGCCACTGCGCAGACGAAGGGTTGCCACTGCACAGTTGAAAAAATGCCACTGCAAACTGTGCAATTTGAGTTTTTTTCATTAATTTGCAACATTGCGATTTGAACAATGTACTCTGCACTCATGGAAGATTGCCACTGCACAGTTTGGATTATTTCCACCGCAAGAAGTAAAGTTTGTTCTTTCTGTTTAGTTGCAATGTCGCAAATTCTAAAATTTCGAATTAAAGTTTGCCTTTGCACACATGAAAGGTTGCCACTGCACAGTTGCATTATTGCCACCGCCAAAAGTAAAGCTGGATTTTTCTGCTTCGTTGCAACGTCGCGATTTCTAAAATTTAATTTGCAACATTGCGATTTGAGAAATCTGCATTACACTCATGAAAGGTTGCCACTGCACAGTTGCAATTTTTCCACCGCAAAAAGTGAAGCTTGATTTTACTGAGTTTAGTTCCAACGTCGCGATTTCTTAGATTTCCAATTGAAATTTGCCACTGCACACATGAAAGGTTGCCACTGTACAGTTGCATTATTTCCACCGCGAAAAGTGAAGCCTGATTTTTCTGAGTTTAGTTGCAACGTCGCGATTTCTAAAATTTACAATTGAAATTTTCTACTACACAGACGAAAGGTTGCCACTGCACATTTGAAAAATTGCAACTGCGACCGGTGCAATTTGAGTTTTTTTAAATTAATTTGCAGCATCGAGATTTGAAAAATGTACACTGCACTCATGAAAGGTTGCCACTGCACAGTTTGTAATATTTCCACCGCGAAAAGTAAAGCTTGATTTTTCTGTTTCGTTGCAACGTCGCGATTTCTAAAATTTCCAATTAAAATTTGCCTTTGCACACATGAAAGGTTGCCACTGCACAGTTGCATTATTGCCACCGCCAAAAGTGACGCTGATTTTTTCTGTTTCGTTGCAACGTCGCGAATTCTAACATTTACAATTGAAATTTGCTACTGCACAGACGAAATGTTGCCACTGCACATTTGAAAAATTGGAACTGCGATCCGTGCAAGATAAGTTTTTTTGAATCAATTTGCAACATCGCGATTTGTAAAATGTGCATTACACTCTTGAAAGGTTGCCACTGCACAGTTTGAAATATTACCATCACAACAAGTACAGTTTGATTTTTCTGAGTTTTGTTCCAACGTCGCGAATTCTGAAATTTCTAATTGAATTTTGCCACTGCACAGATGCAAAGTTGCCACTACAAACTGTGCAATTTGAGTTGTTTGAATTAATTTGCAACATCGCGGCTTGAAAAATGTACATTGCACTTATGAAAGGTTGCCACTGCAGTTTGGAATATTGCCACCGCAAAAAGTGAAGCCTGATTTTTCCGAGCTTCATTGCAACGAATTTTGAAGTTTCCCAATGAAATGTGTCACTGCACAGTTGCAAAGTTGCCACTGCAAACAATGCAATTTGAGTTTTTTTGAATTAATTTGCAACATCGCGATTTGAAAAATGTACATTCTACTCATGAATGGTTACCACTGCAGTTGCATTATTGCCACTACCAAAAGTGAAGCTGAATTTTTCTGCCTCGTTGCAACGTCGCGAATTCTAAAATTTTCAATTGCACAGACGAAAGGTTGCCACTGCACATTTGAAAAATTGCAACTGCAAACCGTGTAATTTGAGTTTTATGAATTAATTTTCAACATTGCGATTTGAGAAAGGTGCATTACACTCATGAAAGGTTGCCACTGCACAGTTGCAATATTTCCACCGCGAAAAGTGAAGCTTGATTTTTCTGAGTTTAGTTGCAACGTCGCGAAGAATTCTGAAATTTCCAATTGAAATTGGCCACTGCACACACGAAAGGTTGACACTGCACAGTTGCATTATTGCCATCGCAAAAAGTAAAGTTAGAATTTTCTGTTTTGTTGCAACGTCACGAATTCTGAAATTTTCAATTCAAATTTGCCACTGCACAGACGAAAGGTTGCCACCGCAAAAAGTAAAGTTAGATTTTTCTATTTTGTTGCAACGTTGCTAAAGTTGAAATTTTGCCACCGCAAACTACGTTGCTTGCGATTTGTTTTGAGTCTTGGCATCGTCGCTTTTCTAGATTTAAAGTTGGAAATTGCCTCTGCGAAAAGTCTCCTGAGAACTTAGAAAGTTAAAGTTTGCCACTGCACAATTTGCCACTGCMAATCGAAATATCATCTGCATCGTGGCAACGTCGGCTTTTTATAGATGTGAATTTAAAGTTTGCCACTGCACTTTTGTGGAAAATTTGCCCTCGGGAGTGGTTGTTGTCAGGATTTAATTGAAAGTTTCCAGAGTTTTGCCACAGAAAATTGCCACTGCACTTTTGACAGTTGCCACTGCAAAGAGTCTGGTTTGAGTATCCTGAGCGGCTTTGCAAATTGTTGATCTTAAAGCGCAAATTTCAAGTTTCTGAGTGATGGAGTGCGAGGGTTGCCACTGCAAAGTCCCAGGGTTGCCACCGCACTTGCATGTCTTTATCCGCCTGCCAACGCCGCAATTCGCAACCGATTGAAGTGAAATTTGGCACAGCGATAGCAAGAATCTTTGCCCATAGCCAAAAGTTGTTTTGCCACTGAAAGTTGCAAAGTTTGCCACTGCACTTTTAAAGGTTGTCACTGCACATTTGAAAATTTGCCCCTCTAAAGTGGTTGTTATCAGAATT